TTTTTTTTTTTTTAAATCTGTAATTTTTCCTTAATATAGTAAAAAAAAATAAACCCCCAGTGGTGAATAAATACCACCAAAAGAAAGCTCTATCTGTCCTCAAAAAAGGGTATAAAATTAATTTCAGTACAGCGCTGCATGACGGAATAAATGTCAGTTAAAGTACCGCAGCGCTGAATACTGAAAAATGGGCGCCACAGGAAGGGGGTGTAACACCGCGGATGTCAACTGGTTAACAAAGGTATTTTTGCTTTTTAACTTCATTATAACGAATGTTCGTAAAGTTACGAAAATATAACCGCCACTAACGAAAATTCGTATTTCGTACGAATCCGAATTGAGTTCAGTTACAAAATACGAAATAACGGATATTCCGAAACGAAACGAAACAGAACAAATTTTTGGACGGCGCACAAGTCTAATATGAATGGAACGGTCTCACCGTATTCATAAGCAGCTCCCAAAGTTCCGTGCGTCAAAAGGCTTCCCCGCGAAATCCAGAGTGTAGGGGAGAAGAGTATCCAGACTCACAGAGATGTCATCAGCGAGGTGTATAGACAGTCCAATAGCCACTACCTTCCTGACATGTTTCACTCCTGTCTGAGCTCTCTCGAAGGTGCGTGGCTAATTACCCCTCAATCCCCCCTCAGGACAGCGGAGTTCCTTTTCTTTGGGATTTTTATGGGTTTTGTTTATTTGGTTCGTTTTCATATTTATCTGGTTTTGTGGAATTTATTCATTTTGTTCAATAAATACATTTTTACTTTTCTATATATTTGGTTTTCAGATCAGAGCGTCACCACTATTCCAAGGGGCCGATGTCTATTCTCATACCGTGTTTCCCCAAAAATAAGACCCCTGTCTTATATTTTGTTTGCCCCAAAAAAACACACTAGGTCTTTTTTTTTTTTTTAATGTGCAACAAAATGAACAACAATCTCAAGTTATCCGGTGTCACTCCGCCTGTCACAGTAACCGGCGCTATAGAGGAAGTATCGGCTAATGCGGCTCTGCTCCCTCCGCCGCCGCCGCAGCCTTGCTTTCTACAGCGCCGCCTTCCTTTGCCATCAGATGCAGCGGTACCAGCAGTGGGGACATCAGACAGTGGACAGCGCGGTAAAGTACGGTACCATTACATGACGCAGTGCCTTTCGGGGGGACAGCAGTCGGTGAAGTCTGGTACTGGAGTGGTCCCTGTCACTGCGCTGGCCAGGGGGAGTCCCCTGTCATCCCCTTAACCCCTTCACGACTGACAAAATACAGTGTATGTCGCCAGCATTGGGGCTGCTTAAACAGAAAGCCGCCGGGACTCTGTTTAAACTTGTAAAGCTGACTGTCTGCATCAGTGGCGTCACAAGGGGGGTGCTGGGAGTGCGGCCCGCACCCGGGTGACACCATTGGAGGGGTGACACCAAAATGACTCACAGTCATTTTGCTGTCACTGGTCCTGGGTGTGTATAGGTGGTCCCGGGTGTGTATAGGTGATCCTGGGTGTGTAGGGGGGTGTATAGGTGATCCTGGGTGTGTACGGGGGTGTATAGGTGGTCCTGGGTGTGTATAGGTGGTCCCGGGTGTGTATAGGTGATCCTGGGTGTGTAGGGGGGTGTATAGGTGATCCTGGGTGTGTACGGGGGTGTATAGGTGGTCCTGGGTGTGTATAGGTGGTCCCGGGTGTGTATAGGTGATCCTGGGTGTGTAGGGGGGTGTATAGGTGATCCTGGGTGTGTACGGGGGTGTATAGGTGGTCCTGGGTGTGTATAGGTGGTCCCGGGTGTGTATAGGTGATCCTGGGTGTGTAGGGGGGTGTATAGGTGATCCTGGGTGTGTACGGGGGTGTATAGGTGGTCCTGGGTGTGTATAGGTGGTCCCGGGTGTGTATAGGTGATCCTGGGTGTGTAGGGGGGTGTATAGGTGATCCTGGGTGTGTACGGGGGTGTATAGGTGGTCCTGGGTGTGTATAGGTGGTCCCGGGTGTGTATAGGTGATCCTGGGTGTGTAGGGGGGTGTATAGGTGATCCTGGGTGTGTACGGGGGTGTATAGGTGGTCCTGGGTGTGTATAGGTGGTCCCGGGTGTGTATAGGTGATCCTGGGTGTGTAGGGGGGTGTATAGGTGATCCTGGGTGTGTACGGGGGTGTATAGGTGGTCCTGGGTGTGTATAGGTGGTCCCGGGTGTGTATAGGTGATCCTGGGTGTGTAGGGGGGTGTATAGGTGATCCTGGGTGTGTACGGGGGTGTATAGGTGGTCCTGGGTGTGTATAGGTGGTCCCGGGTGTGTATAGGTGATCCTGGGTGTGTAGGGGGGTGTATAGGTGATCCTGGGTGTGTACGGGGGTGTATAGGTGGTCCTGGGTGTGTATAGGTGGTCCCGGGTGTGTATAGGTGATCCTGGGTGTGTAGGGGGGTGTATAGGTGATCCTGGGTGTGTACGGGGGTGTATAGGTGGTCCTGGGTGTGTATAGGTGGTCCCGGGTGTGTATAGGTGATCCTGGGTGTGTAGGGGGGTGTATAGGTGATCCTGGGTGTGTACGGGGGTGTATAGGTGGTCCTGGGTGTGTATAGGTGGTCCCGGGTGTGTATAGGTGATCCTGGGTGTGTAGGGGGGTGTATAGGTGATCCTGGGTGTGTACGGGGGTGTATAGGTGGTCCTGGGTGTGTATAGGTGGTCCCGGGTGTGTATAGGTGATCCTGGGTGTGTAGGGGGGTGTATAGGTGATCCTGGGTGTGTACGGGGGTGTATAGGTGGTCCTGGGTGTGTTCTGGGGAAGGAGTGGGGGGTTTGTACAGCTGGTTTTGCATGTACAGGGGGTAGTTGGTCCTGGTGGGGGTGGGGGGAGGAGGTGCTAGGACATTCGTTATTTGTCACAGAGACATTTTTTTACATTTCAGATACAAATAACAAAAACCAACAAAACATTTTCACCTTTTATGTCATTTTAGGAGATTTGGGACAAAATACTGAGTAACATATTTCAGGCTCCCGGAATTCCTCGCATTCCACAGAATCCAACAACAGACATGCGACGCGTATGAAGTCCGTATGTAACAAACATTCATAGATTCCCCAATCACATACAATACCTCCGAGGAGTCCCGTCCCCCATTCCCTCACACGGGGGGTCGGTCCGGACTTTGCCCCCGGCATCTATGAATGATCTCAGGACCGGCCGCCGTGTTACATTGTATATCACATTTTATCCCATTCGTCACTTTGTTTTCCTTTCTGATCCCCGGAGAGAAGATCTGCCGTGCCCAGGAACTATCAGCTATGTACGTCTTCCAGCCGCTGCAGATCAGCAGTTGATAGTGTGGGAGGAGTCCTGGATTTAGGGAGACAGATTTGACGTGTTTTCTGCATTTTATTTATTTATTTATTTTGGAGTTGGCGAAACAAACCTAAAATGAAATACTTCTTCAGGAAAATATTTGTGTCACCGGTTCAGGTTTCATGGATATTGGTGACCGGCAGCCAGTAGATGTCCAACCGTGGTTAAAGTCCCGTCACGCCCCCTCAGCTCACAGAGCATCCTGGGACTTGTAGTTCCACAAAAGTTGCTCATTTACCAGCCGCCAGTCACCGGTCTATATAACGTCTGACCCCCTTCTATACATAATTATATCGTTCCCTCTACTATATAAGGGATCTATGACCAGAGCACCAGCAGTGAACACGGTAACAGAGCGCAATGACAGCAGCGTGCAGAGGTCAGAATTCAGCAGGACTGTCAGTGGGCTTCTCCTCGCCAGTGTTGCGACATTCACTTCTCCTCCTCCAGGAAATGTTTCTCTTTCACGCCGGTGGCGACCACGGCGAAGTATAATTCCGGCAGGAAGGTTCGGATGTAAATGGCGGCTTTGGGGATGGGATTGGCCATGAAGACTTCCTGTTTGCGTCTGCTGACTGTGCGCAATACTTCCTCCGCCACTTCCACGGGGTGCACCCCATAGGCGAGCTTCCTGAAAAAGACTGGAAGGGAGGAACATATAAGAGACCGGACCAGAGGTGAGAGTGGTGGCCATGATCTGACCCCTCCCCCATCAGTGCATGGACAGCCACCATTGTACCAGGAGTCCACCATCCATCATCACCATCAGTGTGGGGGAAGGGCGAGGAGGATGCCTCCTGTTCTGGTCCTTATTACCCCCTCCCTACAGAGTCCCACTTTTACCAGCCAGGCCTGCAAAGTACCAGATATGTGGACACCTAAAGAAAGAACGGGGGGAGCTGCTGGAACCCCCATAATGATCATCTATGGACAACTTTACCACTTGGCACAGATACATTGTAGACAAGAAGGAAGATGCGTTTCATGGGGTTACGTCACAGGCGGAGCCTAGCGTCAGACCCTGGCTGCTTATATGTCTTAGATTCTCCGGCCACGAGCCCCCCCGGGCCAAAATTCATGGCTGTGTTCCTGTCCACTATGGAGTGCCACCATCTTAGAGAGATTTACAGCCACCTTTGTGTCTTCCAGCTGTATATACAGTATAGAGAGAGATAGATAGATAGATAGGTAGATAGATAGATAGATAGATAGATAGATAGATAGATAGATAGATAGATAGATAGATAGATAGATAGATAGATCACTGGTATTGATATGGGTCATGTAGCAGTTGATTTTCCCCCCGGTCCTGTGTGGTGGTCTCTCTCTGTAACAAGTTAGTCATTCAGTTAGTAGAGAGGCAGCAGAGACACGGGTGGCTCAGTCCAGTGTGAGGAGCTCAGGCGTATTTATATGTGTTCTTATCTCTGTACTAGACATGCGCACTGCCAAAAAATTCGTTTAGTTTCGTTTTAAATTCGGATTTCGTGTTATTTCGTTTTTCGGGATTCGGGTGTGAAAGTCAATTCGGATTCGGACGAAATTCGGTAGCGGTAGTTCGAACGTTCGTTTCGTTTCTTATTCGTTTCGTTCGTTTGCAGCAAAGTGACATTTGAGGGGGAAAAAATATTTTTCTCCTTCTCTAATGTCACTTTGCTCCAACGAACGAAACAAATAAGAAACGAAACGAACGTTCGAACTACCGCTACCGAATTTCGTCCGAATCCGAATTCCGAATTGACTTTCACACCCGAATCCCGAAAAACCAAATAACACGAAATCCGAATTTAAAACGAAACGAAACAAATTTTTTGGCAGTGCGCGAGTCTATTACAGAGATAAGAACACATATAAATACGCCTGAGCTCCTCTACCGAATTTCGGAAATGGAAATTCGGATTCGTTTGCATTCGTTATGTCTGTAATTCCGAATTCGGATACATCCGAATGTCCGAATTTCCGAAAATTTGTCAGAATTTCCGAAAATTAGTCCGAATTTCGATTCGGAACGAAACGAATCGCACATGTCTACTCCGTACCACATGCCTGATGAAGGGACCCTACGTGGCCCCCGAAACGTGGCATTTTGTTCTGCGATGTGATCAACCAAATGTCAAGAAAGGCGTTTTGATTGGGAAGATGACGGTGTGTTGGTGATTCTCTTCCTATGTTGTATGTAGCGTGTCATTTCGGCACCCACAAAGCAAGGAAAGGGGATACACATTCTTCCAGTGGAAGTGATTGGGAGTATAAGGCCTGGTTCACACCTGGGTGTCCCTACGCGCTGTAACAGTCCATGTACCCATTGCACTCCTTACCGCTGATCCATAGTAATGAGAGGGGTGCATCAGTAGTCGACGGATGGCCACCGTCTGAACAGTATAAGCAATTATGGACACCGGCACTCCAAGGTACAATAACTGAGATATTGTGTCTTACATTTCCAGATGGAGGCCTCCCAGTTCCCGGGCTGCGGCTGGACATGATACGATCGGATGAAGGTGGGGCTGACTGTGCTGACAAACACATCGAACTCTTCCACTTCAGCGCGGAGACAGTCAAAGAATCCCTGGATTGCGTGCTTAGAGGCGGCATCTGCACAGAGATACAAAATGGTTATTTATACCCGGAACCCGACAATAACACTGAGATCAATAATATACAACTCATTGTATTATAATCATCAGCAGGGCAGAGTATATCGGGAGAGGAGAGTCATAGAGGAAGGAGCAGAGTCCTCCAGCAGAGCAGAGTATTTCTCAGGAGAGGAGAGTTATAGAGGAGGGAGCAGAGTCCTCCAGCAGAGCAGAGTATTCCAGGAGAGGAGAGTTATAGAGGAGGGAGCAGAGTCCCCCAGCAGAGCAGAGTATTTCTCAGGAGAGGAGAGTTATAGAGGAGGGAGCAGCAGAGCAGAATATATCAGGAGAGGAGAGTCATAGAGGAAGGAGCAGAGTCCTCCAGCAGAGCAGAGTATTTCAGGAGTGGAGAGTTATAGAGGAAGGAGCAGAGTCCTCCAGCAGAGTCCTCCAGCAGAGTCCTCCAGCAGAGTCCTCCAGCAGTCATTGGTCCAGCAATACTCACATGCAGCTCGGAATGGAACTCCCAGCCTCCCCTGGATGTTGTTGATGAGGACGATCTGGCCGGTTCTTCTAGAAATCATGTGCGGGAGGATCGCTGAGGGCGACAGGAAAACATTGTTTGTTGCTGTGGCTCCCCGATGACGGCCACCATAGGGAGTGAAGGGGAGACTTACCTTTGATTAAGGTGATGGGGCCGAAATAATTGGCATCCATAATCTTCTTGTCCAGCTCCAGCGTCACGCCCTGCGCCGGCCCTTTAATCTTCATACTGGCGTTATTAATCAATACGTCCACGCAGCCGTAACAGTCCAGAATCTCCTTCCCGATGTCCTCGATGTCGTTCACGTCGCTGATGTCCAGGAGGACCAGCTTGGGGGTGAAGGTCTGACAGACACGTATTACAAGTCACGTTTAATGTTTGTGATTCTGAATGACATTTGTCTGAAGGCAGCAAAGCATTCTGGGAGTGAGAGTTATAACATCGACAACGCGGATTCACTATAAAGCAACAAAATATCATTTCTAATGAATCCCCCAAATTGTCTGATTTCTCTTCAGTGTTCTCGTTACTAAATAACTCCAAATTTCCTGTCCCAGAGTTCGCAGCAAATTCACTTTCTGGTAATGAGCCGAAATCAACCAATCAGGCGGCACCTTCCCAATGTAACATCCCCGTGTGTACCGCACAAGGCACAATGTATACACTATATTGCCAAAAGTATTGGCCCCTCCCCCTCCCAATCATGTGACTCGGGTCCTCCAATCCCCTCCGTGGCCCCCGGTGTATAGGACGAGGCACCTCGGCATGCAGACGCTTCTACAGACATTGGTGAGAGAACGGGTCGCTCTCAGGCGCTCGGTGACTACAAGCGCGGTGCCGTGATAGGTTGTCACCTGCGCAATAAGTCCGTCCGTGACATTTCCCGGCTATTCCGCCGCGGTCGCCTGTTACTGGGATTATAACAAAGTGGAAGCGACCGGGAACAACAGCAACTCAGCCAGGAAGTAGTCGGCCACGTCACATGACAGAGCGGGGTCAGCGCATGCTGAAGCGCACAGTGCGCAGAAGTCGCCAACTGTCTGCAGAGCCAATAGCTACAGACCTCCAAACTCCATGCGGCCGTCAGATTGGCGCAACAACAGTGCGTAGAGAGCTTCATGGAATGGGTT